TGTTATATTCCACATTTTAGGCCTGAAAATTACTTAAAACCCCCCAAACATTATATATTTTCTGAATGCCAAAACCCTATAGAATAAAATGGTGGTAGTTGCAAATTTTTATATAGCGCAATATTAGCGCAACTCCTTATTAAACCCCAAAATTTAGTGACAAATTTAATTAAATGCCCCAGAACACAATAAAATACCCATGTTTTTAATGAATATAAAAGATGAGGTTACAACGAGTAAAACAATACCCAACATGCCCAGTTTACAAATTGCGTGCGTCCGTGAAACGGCGAATAACTGCAGTACCCCACAAAGTCCATAGAAGACGGTTTAAAAGCCCCCACAGGTCATCAATTTAGAGATACCCCAAATACTGGCCCTAGAATTATTGCTCTCACTCTGGCGTGCGCGGCGATACCCAACATGTGTAGCGTGTTCGTCGTTTTCATACGTAGGCGCACCCGACGCCTGTTTACGTGGCAACACGCGTGCTCGCGGGGGACTTAAAATTGTTTTTTTATTATTAGATTTATTTTAAAAAACTGTTTTTTTTAACTTTACTTTGACTGCTATCACATAGGGGGCTTACAAGCCCCCCCATGTGATAGCAGATGGTGATGACAGGTACTCTTTAAGGTGATGCTGGGGGTCCAAAAGACCCCCAGTGTCACCTTTACTTGGGGGGTTTTAAGTAATTTTCAGGCCTAAAATGTGGACTATAACATGGGTACAAAAAATGAAAAAAAGGCCTCAGTCATGAAGGGGTTAAACTGCCTCGATGCTGGCGACGTACACTGTACGTCGTCAGTCACGAAGGGGTTAATACCTACACATGAGGTATGTACAATACTGAGATCCGTAACGGCCTCCTGAACCAAAGATGCGGTCACTAAAGCAGTTGTTTTGGGTATTTCAGAGACAGTATTAGTAATAGCAGCTCACAAGGTATACACCAGTACAGAGATTCACTGCTACTTCCTGAACCATGATGGTTCCACTAAATCAATGATTTGGTTATTCAGAGACAGTATAGCAATACCAATACATAAGGTATGCGCAAACACTGAGATTCATAACCATCTCATGAACCAATAATGTTTACATAAAAGCAGTGAATTGGTCATCTTAGGGGCAGCAGCGTAATACCAAGGTATTAGGTATGCCCAACACTGAGATTAATAACTACCTCATGAGCGAAAGAGCTACCACTTAAAATAAATCGGTTTGTCTCAGAGACAGTATAGCAATGCCAACACCTAAGGTATGCAATAGTGCAAGTCTCCACCATCTCCTGAACTAATATCCTTTTACTAAAGCAGTAATTGGTTCATTTCAGACACGGTATGGTAATACCAACATAAGGTATACACATACCGAGGGACCCCCACCATCTCCTGAACCATTATTCTTTCACTAAAGCAAATAAATTGGTTATCTCAGCGACAGTATAGTAATACCAATAAGCAAGGTATGCACAATCACTGGAGATTCACAACTACCCCATGTACCTGTGATGCTCTCACTAAGAGTAGTAAATGGGTCATCATAGAGACAGCATAGGAACACCGTTACATAAAGGAATGCCCAACTGCGATTCATTAACTATTTAATGAACCAATGGTGCTTTCACTAAAGCAATAAAGTGTTTATTCCAGTGGCAGTATATTGATACTAACACATAAGGCATGCACATACCGAGCGTCTCAACTATCTCCTGAACCATATTCTTTTACCAAAGCAGAAATTGGTTTACTTCAGAGACAGTATGGTAATACCAACATAATGTATGCACATACAAAGGGTCCCGATTGTCTCCTGAACCATATTCTTTTACTAAAGTCGCAATTGGTACATTTAAGAGACCGTAGGTAATTCTAACATAAGGAATGCACATACCAAGGGTCCTAACCATCTCCTGAACCAAAATTATTTTACTAAAGCAAATAAATTGGTTATCTCAGCAGCAGTATAGTAATACCAACAAACAAGGTATGCGCAACCACTGAGATTCATAACTACCCCAAGTACCTGTGATGCTTTCACTAAAAGCAGTAAAACGGGTGATCATAGAGACAGCATAGTAGCACCAATACATAAGGTATGCCTGATTGAGGTTCATTAACCACTTCATGAACGAATGGTGCTTTTACAAAAACAATAAAGTGTTCATTCCAGCGACAGTATAGTGATACCAACACATGAGGTATGCGCAACACTAAGTTCCATAACTACCTCATTAACTAAAGATGCTTTTATTAAAGAAATAAATGGTTATTTTGAAAACAGTACAATAATACCAATACATAGGGTATGCACACTACTGACGCTCATGACCATATTAAACCCAGTCAAGTCTCTCTTCAAAGAGGTAAATGGGATAGTTTGCAGACAGCACAGTCATGCAAGGGCTTACAGGTGCTTGACTACCAATATATGCATCAAGCTGTGCAAGAGATGTAGACCAGAGAAAAGCCATTTATTGCTGTGTCAGCATACGGCAAGGGACACGGCATGCCCTTTCACTTAGCCAGTAAATGCTTATACATATACAGCTTCTATCAAGGTGAGATAAAGATGTAGCATTTCAGCTAAAGATCATGGACTTCGAAGGTGCTGTACAAGAAAACCAAAAGGTTGCAACCAGAGTAATCAGTAAAAAGGCCCCACACCTGTGAGTGGCTCAGCCTGTGAGCAGCTGTAGACTGGAAGAAAATAATCCTAACCACTGAAAAAGATAGATGTTGGCTCTTACACAGAGGCAGACTTAACCATATAGGAGAGAGTTAAGTCTCAAAAGCTTTAGAGGCTGTTCAAATCTGCCAAGGAAGTAAAGCCTTGAAGATAAAGTAACCTCATCCAGCATCTACCCTTATGTGGGATTTGCGTCGTTAGGCTTCTATGCTCTAACAGGCAAGTAAAAGGAAGTTCACTTAATTAGGGCTGAAGGAACATTCCCCAGCCCCCGCTCAGGTGAGAGCAATCTTAGCCCTCCAGCTTGTGAGCTCACACCCAGCACAGTCAGGTGGTAAATCAGAGTTGCTAACGGCAACAAAAACGTTTTAGCCCTGAGGCACAATACGTCTGCAGCACTATCAAGTTGAACCATCTGGAAACAACCAGAGTATGCACCTAAAATTGGTGTGAAATAAGCCTCTAGTGCTTATGGACACACCAATGTTCATTTGCAAAAGGAGTCTGTAAAACATTTGTTACCGGCCTCGGTTTGCCTTGCTTAAACAGATAGGCTGTTGCCTATGACCCAAAGGCCTGATGCAAGTACATAAAACCATCCTTGGCTGATAAATCTCCTTATATATGTTCCAACACAAAAAGGAGATTGCCAAAAGCGTGAAATTGGGGAAAATCCCCAATACTCCTGTGTAACACTAACCCCAGCAGTGTAGGAAGGAGTAATTAGGTTGCTTATTGTTGGGGGTTGCTACTTGCAGATTGAAAAGGTGTTTACACTGCAGCTCATGCCTCCAACTAGCCACATCACTGGTGGAACGACATATCACACATACATGTGTTAATAAGAGGCACTACAACCCTCAGCAACCAACACCCAAAAGGAGGATCACCTCCCAAGGGCCCCCCACACTGTGCCCTGCCCCCAGGATGGGGGGTAGGAGGAAGGAGACTTCCCTCTAAGCCTCCAACCTTCCTATGGGCTGCATTGTGTAGCACTGCCAACCAGAGGAAGCCTTGTGGAACACCTCATGTTCATGACTGCTTGTGGCTCCGCCCCTCGCCCGCTGCACTCCCTCTCTGGCATCTGTGGATGCTGGCGCGAGGGGTACTCACCACTCCATCGCATAGCTGTCCATTCAAAAGGAGGCCCTGGATGCTACAGGATATGAATATCCACAACATGGCAGCACACATAGGGAGCATGGATGGCAAACCGCCCCATTCAAGGCAAGGCAGAGGAGAACTCTGAGCCGAACCAAATGTGAGTAAGGGAAAGCTCTGCTAGAGCCGATATGCACCCGGGGATGGTTGCTTTTCCTCAAGGGGGATGAGCAACCTCAGGGATAGATGGGGAGGGAGGGTCCCATAATAGAATAACCTGAAGGTTAATCCTCGGACAAGCCCAGGCATGCAACCCCCCAGGTCCACAGTCCCTGATTCACGGGGGAGCACACTGGGAGGCCCCTGCAACTAGCACGCAGGCCTATAGAGAAAATAACAAAACGGTTACGATGCTCCTGTTAGGCCGGAGGAAACACAAAAAAACTGAGGTGCTGTACCACCCCATTTATTGGATTCTCTCTCTCAGATGCTGCCCTGGAAGATGACTTGGGAGAATACAAATTCAGCCACCGCATGTTAGGACTGGAACATTCTTAAGTTTAGGTATACTTTAAAACCACGTCCTGCACACCACAGTGCCGAAAGCAAACATTATCAGAATTAAATGTATATCAAACACCCACATACAATGCTGGTTTGAAGCGGTTTAGTTTTAAAAGAGAAGTAAAGCCAAAGCTTTTTCTTTTGTTTATTTCTCTTTTGGACCAGAGGAGTACGTTTACCATTGTACTCGTGTGACCAAATGTCAGATGATAGCTAATACCGCGTGTAAGTCTGCTGACAGCTCAAAAGGCTCCAGACAATATACAACGGCTGCCTGACAGCTGGTTCCATCTCCTCAGAGCCAGATCTAGCCGTGTCCACCTTCACCTCACCTCAGTCTGTAGTTTCAGGGAGTACTAAAGTAACAGAGAAGGGAAGAGGGAAACCCTGTTGTCCACTGGGAGAAAAGAACAAGAGCTGGGTGGTCAGCAGTTACATGATCATTTAGCTCTCGGTGTTAGAACCAGCATGTCACAGCTGCAACGTCCCACCTGGGGGACCATGTTTTACTCTTCCCAGACCTCTCCCTTCAGATGTGTATTAATGTGTGTGAAAATGCTAATCTATTTATGATGCATACAGATATAGTATACTTGCAATATGTTTAAATACAATTTGTTACATCGGCAATCTATAGTTCTCACCTGTCTCTGCTGTAGTTGCTGCTGTTGCTCCATCTGCAATTTTTCTGTCTCAAACACTACAGGCAATACCAGAATCATGAACGAAGTGGTTCCTATCCACAGTGCTGACCGGGAAAAACTAAAATTATACAGAAAAGCATATTTGTTTAATTAAGGAAGGCATTTATTAGCAACTGAAACAAGTCAGCAATGGCACCTCATACTTCAGTTCAATACATTTCATTTGTGGTCAATGATAAAAGCTACGGTTCCAGTGCATAATGTGATCATCAGAATACAGAGTTGCATGGCAGAGAAACATATCTTAAATGTTACCATTACTGAGATTTAATTAAATGAATGGAGGTAGCAAAAGTCACTATTGCAAGGTTTTTAAACAGGAGAATTTTCATGTTTAACCCCTTCATGATTGAGCTTGTTTTAAGTCTGTTCGTTAATGACTGACACACTTTTGACATTTTTGCTGTGTGATTCTTCCACGTCAGTAATATACTTTCTTACTAAGTGTACCCACACATTATATATTGTTTTTTGGAGGACAGATAGGGCTATATATATTTATATCTCATATGTATGCCTCACTTAAGACAAATACAATATTACAAAATTAGGGGGAAAAACGTAGAGAAAAAAAAAAACACTTTTTACCCAGTTTTTATTAGTATTTTAGAAAAATAGCACAGCTAAAAAAAATGCATTAAATAAATTAATTTAATTTGTCCTTTATTTGGAAAAACCTCACATCCCTAGGATTTTAGATATTTATTTATATTTAAAAAAATCTGCATATTTTCATTGTAAGGGGTTATTTTTATAATAATGATAGTATAAAAATATATTTAAATACATCATTTTTATTTGTATTCTTTTTACACTTTTCACTTTTTTTTTTAAATGTTTTATTTTATTTAATTATATCAAGCAGTCATTGTGAATAAATCTTGATATTACTGCTTGATAATTTAATTCAAAATTTGATTATTAGGCTGCTTCAAACTTAAGAACAGCCAATAATAACCTTAGTGAGACTGATCCTGCAGCATTTCAGGATCAGATTTCACTAAAGACGTCTGATCGTTCCCACAACGATCAGAAGCCTGTAACATTGTTTCTGCAAAAGAAACATGTAGCTAAATGTTTTTTATTGCAGAAACTTTATAAAACAAAAGCCGGTAGAGATCGGGATTTCCCAATCTATACCAGCTGTCAGAGTGACGGCAAGAGCAGATACCGATTCTCAGCAGTTACCAGCATTACAGAGCCCCAAATAGCTGATCATGTACACTGTAGCTGAGTAGTTAGTTGGGCACTTAGTGGCGGGGACGTACAGTGTATGTCCCAGTCACTAAGGGGTTAAAGAAGAATTCCGGGCAGAAATTATTTTAACTTTTGCAGTGGGGCTACTCCCGCACTGCAAGGGTTAAGTGCACATTTACCTCTAGGGACGAAAATAGCAGATATACTAACTTAAACCTTGGAGTCGGCTGGCTGCTTGTCCGGTCCCTGAAGCCTTGCTCCGGCGGCCGAAATTAGGGCATGCACTAGTGCATTTTTGACTGAACATTCATACCATAAATCTTGTTGGGACTGTTCGCTAACGCCATCAGAAAGTTGACGAATGTATTTCGAAATTTCTTTTGATTTTTGTTTTGATTTAACATTAGATTTTTTAATGAATGAAGGTTCCCCAAACAAAAACAACATCAACTATTAGAATTTTGTTTGGTCGAGAAAAATTTTGCCTTCGACTTTTTTCATCATGGTGGTCGAAATTGATCGATTTGACCCCATCAACTGTTAGAAAGTCGAACAAACTTCCAAAATAGATTTTGTTCATACAAAAGTCCAACCATGTATACCCTACTTAAAGAGGAACTTTACCCAAGTCTTCAAAATAACAACAAAAACACCTTTAGAAATGTTTAGTAATGACAATCTACAAATACTTCTAGATAATTGCTGGCTTTTTATTTTGTGCATACCTTATTTTTCTCCTATTCACCAGTCTTCTGACAGTGGCCATTTTAACTAAGAACAGGTTACTAGAGTTCCCTTTACTGCCAGGAACTCTGGCACATGTGACCAGGACATGCAAACATGCACATCATCTCAGGGGAGGAATATGCCTTTCCCTGAGATATCATGAGAATACAGATGAGGTTCCCCAGCAATACTCTGCTGATATAACCTTCCCAGGATGCAATGCTTGGGCACAATTACATAATTTGTGCCAAAGTGGACCAGGAAGTAGAAAAAAAGAAGTTGCAAGCGAAATAAAATGTGTTTGTTTAGCTAATGAAAGATGATTGCATATCAGCATGCAGAGCTAAATGCTGATGTCATTTTTTGTCAAAGGGGGTAAAGGTCCACTTTAGGGCCCTGTGAGTCATACAGTCTAATAGTGTATTGGACGTGGGAACACAGAGGAACATTCTATCACTGGAGCAGAGAGGCTGCAGGTACCGGTCTAGCAGCCAGCCAGCCAGCTCTGAGATTCATGTGAGAATATATGTTTTTTTTCGTCCCTGGAAGAAAATGAGCACCTAAACATTGCAGTGTGGGGGTAGCCAGGGGTTAAGATTATTTCTGAAGCCTAGGTAGATATAAAATACACACTAACTCCAGGCAAATAGCTTGGGAGGGAGGGAGCGAGAGAGATTACTGTGCAAATGTTCAGGCAGGTGTGATAAAACGCTGTAAAGTAAGAATGCTTTCAGAAATAAAAGTGTTAATAGTTTGTTTTTATCAATTAACAAAATAGAAGGTAAAAATGAACAAAAGAGAAATACAAAATCAAATAATTTGGTGTGACCACCCTTTGCTTTCAAAACAGCATACATTTTTCTAGGTACACTTGCACACAGTTTTTGAATGAACTCGGCAGGTAGGTTGTTCCAAACATCTTGGAGAACTAACCACAGATCCATATGTGGATGTAGGCTGCCTCAAATCCTTCTGTCTCTTCATGTAATCCCAGAGAGACTCGATGTTAAGATCAGGGCTCCTTGTTCTTCTTTACCCTGAAGATAGATCTTAATGACATTGGCTGTATGTTTGGGGTTGTTGTCCTGCTGCAGAATAAATTTGGGGCCAATCACACACCTCCCTGACGGTATGGCATGATGGATAAGTATCTGCTTGTATTTCTCAGCATTAAGATCACCATTGATCCTGACCAAATCTCCAACTCCATTGGCAGAAATGCAGCCTCAGACTTGCAAGGACCCTCCGCCATGCTTCACTCATTGTACAATTCTCCAGCCCCTCTGCGAACAAATATTTCCAAATTTCCCCCAGTCATCTTAGAGGACAGCCAATGAGAGGGCTCCGCCCGCCGGCAACAGGAAGCACATCATCCACATTAGATTAAAAAAAAAAGGCATACCTACAATCCCACCTCAGTAATTGCAAGGACTGAAGGCCAGTACACAAAGTAATTTTTTCAAAACCTTCTCCGTCCATTATCCCTATGTAATATGACATTAGTCATCATTCTCACCAATGTTGTCAGCGGGAGGGAACTCACTGCCCTGCAAGATTCCTGGAAATAGAGTTACCAGGTAACTAACTCATGTTTTCCCCAGTCATCTTCCAGGACATCCAATGAGAGGATAAACGAGAACCGTGCTCACCTTCTAAGTGTGGGACAACTGCCTGCCAAAAGCTTGGTCCTGTTGTGTAAGCATGTCAACTCTGTAATATCTGACAAATGTCTGGAAGCTGGAACAGGTGGCTGCTCTGCAGATCTGATATGGTGTCACCCCTGCTCTTTTCGCCCATGAAGTAGCCCAGGCTCTGGTGGAATGTCCTCTTGAATTTCCAGGTAAAGTCTAACCCTGAGAGCGGTAAGTCTCGGATATAGCATCCCTAATCCACCTAGCTATTGTGCTCTTGGAAGCCCTATTACCTTTCCATGGAACATTGAATAGGACAAAGAGGTTATCTGACTTTCTCCATCCATTAGACTGAGACAGATACTTCAGCATGCCTCTCCTCACATCGATGCCCCCCCATCCCCTCTGTGTCGTTCATCGGATTAGTTAAGAACGATGGTATGATGACCTCTTGCGTCCTGTGAAAATTAAAGGCTGCTTTGGGCAAGAAAGCTGGGTCAGGTCTCAGCACAATCTTGTCTGTCAAGATCGTCCAATAAGGCTCAAACATAGACAATGCATGTATCTCACTCACTCTCCTGGCAGATACTAAAGCTACCAGAAGCACGGTCTTCAAAAGGGAGGGCTCTGATGGAGCAGTCCTTAATAGGCTCAAAAGGTTGTCCTAGGAACCCTTGAAGGACTACCGACAGATCCCAGGCAGGAAAGTTTTTAAACTTTGGGGGTCTCAACCTACCTGCTGCCTTCAGGAATCGTTTGACAAGAGGTTCACCTGCCAGCCTAACATCCAAAAAAATTGGACAGAGCTGAAACTTACACCTTTAAAGTGCTGCAAGCAAGGTTCCGATTTAATCCTACCTGAAGGAATTCTAACACCTGAGCCACCTTTCTAGCTGTGGTGATTCCCTGTCTATCCCGCCAGGTGGGAAAAAACATTTCACACCTTGTGGTAGATTGCGGACGTGGAAGCCTTCCTGCTGTATAGTTTCTGACCCTTACCAATTAAGAAGTCCCTCTCAGAAACCAGGCTGTTAAACCAGCACCTGCGGGTGACGCACCGACCCCTGCGTCAATAGATCTTCCTTTAGCGGAATTTCCCTGCTCAGACCCAGAAGGGCCGTGAACCAAGACCTCTTCTGCCAAAATGGGGCTATTAGCATTAATGCTGTTTCTTCCCTCTCCAGTTTCCAAATAACTTTTGAAATCAAGTGGGGACACACACACATACCAACTGGAACTTCTAAAGGTGGGCAAAGTAGGGCTGCAGCTAACGATTATTTTCATAATCGATTAGTTAGCCGATTAAGTTCGATTAATCGACTAATCGGATAAAAAAAAAAAAGGGTTCAGTGATGGACTACTAGTTTCTATTGAGATTGTAGTCCATCAAGGGAGCAAGCTCGGCGCGGTGGAAGTGAAAAAAAGAGTGTGGTGTGCAATATAGTACATTATACAGCGGCGCAGTGCAGAATACCAGCAGCTATAGAGGAATGTAGCAATAGTACATTATACTATAATGTACTATTGCTGGGATTTGTAGTCCTCTGTAGCTGGGGTTATTCTGCATTGCACTGTATATAATGTATTATTGCTGGGATTTGTAGTTTGCGATCGGCTTAACTGACGTGGGCGTGGCGTAAGCAGCGTGCGTGAGCGGCGTGCGGGAAATTTGAATTTTAGCCGACGAATCGACGATGGAAAACGTTGGCAACGTTTTCCATCGTCGATTTTAATCGACTTAATCGAATAATTGTTGCAGCTCTACACACAGCCCAGATTCTGGAAACAGATGATTTCAACATACAGTATTTACTGATTTCTTGGTGGATCACCTAGATTTACCATGTTATAAAATTTGTGACCTACCTATATAGCTTCTTGGCTGCACAAATGGAAAAGTCAAAGGTTAAGCCAGCAGTAGTACGCACAGTCTCAGGAAACATTTCCGTCAGCCCCCAAAGCCTTTCTGATAAAGTCTCATCCAGCTAGAAAAATACAAACAAACAGTTGCGAGAATGAGATTAAAATTCTCTGAAGTGAATCTACCCAAACAACCAGAGTTTGATAAAAGATGGTACTCATCCCACAGGTGATAGAGCTTTGTGCATAAGCAATATCAGCTGTGTGGCATAGTTTTTTAGGTAACGTGCAAATTCCAGCTCATTGCTAGCTACTGCCAAGGCACACCCACCATCCCTCTGGCCAGTAAGGGTATCCTTATTTTATTTAAGGTATAAAATTACAGAGATTCACTTTTAGCAATAGTCCAAATAAGATCTTTACATTTTGAATAGAGTATAGAAAAGTTAAAATGAACATCTGTTTGCTGACATTCCTTGGTCCTGTTTGTAACTCCATTGGGAAGATCATCCCTCAATTCCTACCTTTGTTGACAATGCACAAGAAATAGGGGGGTGAACAAATAAGTGCCAGAGAAATAAACATTTCCAGATGTTTTAACCCTTCCCCACTACTAAAAATGTGGGGTTCTTCACGTCTTCCTGTCCTGCAAGGGAGTAAGGTGACATCTTCTCAGAAGGGACAGAGATGGCAAAAAAACCTGACAAATGTTCTAGCCCTGCTCTATCTAAAACAAAATTAAAAGTTTTGGCTGAAATTGGACTATGGAATATATATATATATTATATATCCACTGAAACTCTTATAAAAGCTTTACCATGTTATTTCAAATACTTCTGATATCAAATTATGTTTACATCTGCAGCTTTTATTAAAATAATGCCTAGAAATCCTGCCATGGGTGTTCCTGTTGAGGAATTTCCTCTTATAGGGCAACAGTGCTCTGTCTCTGTTTAATCATTTTGCCCGTACGTTGTCACCCTGTCACTGGGGCTTCTAATGGAGACTACAAGTGGCTGTTCCAAACAGATTATGCAGGTGTAGTCCACTGTTGTCACCATCAGGAATTTCATACAGCTGTCGCCCAAGTAGACAGGAAGTGGCGGCAAAGAGGCTACAGGAGATCAGCAGCACTAAGAAACAATAAAGCATGGAAAAGCATTTTAAAAATTATGGAAATGGTCTAGAATACACAAAACTTTGATACACTCAGGGTTGAAAACAACAAGAATGACTCAAAAATGAAAAAAAAAAAATGGTTTATGGTGCACAGAACAATTAAGTTCCTACTTTAATTTTCAAAACTACACGAGAGTGAAAAAAAAACAAACAAAAAAATATATGATGGAAAGTTATGACCAAAAACAAGCAATTTCTCAAACACTGTCATAGGTTACAGCAGAGAACCAATGAAGTCACCCAGGCTTAGCTAATATTTGGACTACTAATCTAGTAGGAATAGGGATAATCATTGTCATGTGATACACCATGATGCGACAGGTGTTTTATTTATTTTAGTTTTGGATAGAATTGTTACAACCCCTGTCAGATTTTACTTCTACCAAGGGCTCCGTTACAGATATTTCCCCTTTAGTTTCTCTAGTTGGGACAACCTTTTCCCATTAAATCCTTTCACAATATGCCACTTGCCTTTTATCCAGGAGAAACATACAAGACCAACAAATCCTGCATTGTCCTTTTCTCCCCCTGTAGCTCTTCCACTACACATATCGTCCCACACCGCCATCTTTGTTTTCTTTGTCATTGACAGCTGGCTGTCTCATCCTGCTTCCCGCAGCTAGCCCCCAGATGAATCTCCCTAAGCTTATGGGAAGCTGATGCGTCCTGGGATATGCGATGTCAGTATCCCAAGAGGCTGCAGGAGGAGACTTCACACCATTCTCACCTGTGGCAGGGACAGGTGAGTAAAATAAAAAATTTTTAAAAAGGATATATAAACATTTATTGAAAAAAAAATTTAAAAAAATGTTGTGGGAGGGGGTAGGACTGGGATGGAGGAAAGTGTGATTGAGTGAAGGTTGGCTTTTATTTAAAAAAGCATTTTCTTTCTGTGTTGCTGTTAAAGAGAGATTTACCTTTATGTTAAAAAAAACATTTTACCCATCTTTTTGGTAAAATATAAAAGACGGGGCACGTCGGGTAAATAGACACCAAACATGTCAAGCCTTAAAATTGTGTGCGCCCGCAAAATCACAAAAAAACGACCACACACAAAATTGGTCATAGGCGATGGTTTAAACGCTTTCACTTTTTTATATATATATATATCTCGCTTTTTATATATATCTCGGGGCCACCACTTAGAGCCAAAAGCTTAATAAAGGGATAGGTTGCAAGATCAAGATACAGTATGCACAGTAAGCCTTTTTGTTAGCAGTAAACATTGCCGCCGCCGCCACCCCCTCCCAAATAGCATTTAATATCAATTTCCCTTTCAGACGGCCACTAGAGCCTAGCACAGAGAGTACCACCCACCCACTGTACGACAGCAACCAGTTATCTACTTCTATGGTACTGACAAGTTTGCTTTATTTCTCTCAGCCAGGTGGGTAGAGAAGGTCAGCTTTCCCCAGCCCTCAGATCACATCTGTTGATGAACTGCAAGTCTTAGCATGTATATTTCTACAGCTCCACAGCAACTAAAAGGGTTGGATAGGATGATCAGTGTGCTTTACCTCCCACACATGCAGAAAAATACATTAACTCTACTAAGCTGCTGATACGAAAATCACCTCCTCGTCGTCGTGATCATCATCTTCGTCATCCTCTATGTCGGGGTTCCTAGCTCCGCTTAACGCGCTCTCTAGGGGTGCATCTGAGGGTGACATGACTTTCCAACGTGCAGGCACAACAGGGGTCAGCCAGCAGGAAATCCGTCATCGGAAGTGCCAAGAAAACTACCATAGAGGAATCATAGGTAGGGGAGGGAGAGGAGCTCCCTCTGCTGGTGCTGCATAAAATTGCTCAGAACAGCCGCTGATATGACCATCTACAAGTGTAGCGCTAAGAAAACAAACACAAACGTGCTAATAACAGTGTATCTCATATAAGAAGTATACACAAAAATGAATGCAAACAACTATACATACTGAGTGGGGAATTTATCAAAACTGGAGCAGACAGAATATAGTGCCGTTGCCCATGGCAACCAATCAGTATCTACAGTTTATTCAGCTAAGATTTGAAAATGAAAGATAGAAGCTGATTGCTTGCCATGCACATCTGCTCCAGAATTTGTCTGCTCCAGTTTTTATAAATTCCCCATAGAGTATATTAAGTATAGTGTATATATATATTTATATTTAGACACACACACATACAACACACAGCGAGGTGCAAAACAGTTAATACTAGGGTTGCCACCTTTTGTTCAAGCGAAACCCGAACACTCTAGCGACGCGCAGCCATTTTTTTTCTTGGGAGAATGAGTTGCGGCTTATTCATATGTAAATAGCGCCACCCATTCATATGTGAATATCACAGTCAGACTATTTTCAGTGGGGAGCCAGTAGTCCCTATCTTAATTTTGGTTGCCCCTGTCTGCCTGACACCTTGTGTCCGGGTTTCTGCTGCCATGAAACCCGGACACAGCATTCAAAACCCGGACTGTCCGGGTGAATCCTGGACAGGTGGCAACCCTAGTTAATACCACCAAATATATTACTATGCTTATAACGGAATACAAAGTACAAATATTGTTGCTCCTCTACACTACAGTAACAAAATGTCTGTAGGTATTAGTGCTGTATCCCAATAATCTTCTTAAACACTATTTAAAAAAAACACAACTCCAAGTTCTCAGACAACGGACACCGCTGACAAATCCCCGCCGGTAAATCAGCTGCCAGACACAGCTGATGGGTACAGCACTGAGATCTTGAGGAATGCTGAATATAGTTCTACTTGCTTGCTATATGATGTTTAGCTTCTCTTGAAGGAAATTGTGACGATCCTTTGGCAATAGCTTGGTAAGTGCATCTGCAGTCATTTCTTCTGATGAGCAATATTGCATGTCGATAATGGCTTGCTCGAGTGTCCCTTAGCAGATGATACTTCACGTCGATGTGCTTGGTTATAGGGCTGACCCTTTCTGATTGTGTTAGCTTTATACATCCTTTCCCAGATAGCAAGCAATTGAGCTGCAAGTTTGAAAATGACTTGCTAAACTATTGCAGACTTGTCAAGCTTCACAATTTTGTTGCAGAATTACAGCAAGTCTGCATTCAAGTTTCCAGACCAGCAAGCTTGCAGAGCTCTTGCTAAGACCTGCAGGACTGTTGCTGTAGACTTGCCAAGCAAATTTGCTACAAATTCAAAAAGTGTCAGCTAGAACTTGTGTCGCAAGTGTTCTGCAAGTCTACAACTTGCCAGGAATATGTGCAGCAAGTTAACAAAATTACAATTTCACCCTGCCACAAGTTTGTAGAAAGTTATCCTTCCTATCTGGGTGGTTATCTTCATAGAACGGGATGGGATTTGACATGTCTATACCATTGTCCATTAAAAGCTGGCAAATCCATATTGCTTCTTTACATGTGTGTGCTGCTGCTATGTATTCAGCTTCAGTTGAGGAAAGTGCATCAGTTGTTAGCTTTCGGCTAGACCAACTTCTGGTTCCTTCCCCATGTTGGAAGATGTAACCAATCAGCATCCACATATCCAAATAGTTTTGCTTTTGATGTTGCTGGTAGTCATAGCTTCCTCAGAATTGTTCCCTTTAGGAGAACTATGGGGTTAAGGCTTTTCCCCATAGCTCTCCTTAGGGTAACGGGAGGACACAAACTAGCGTCCTCCCATCACCCTAGGCTAAGTAAACCGCGAGCTGTAGCTCGCGGTATACTGAGACGCCGCAGCTGAAGCAGATCCCGACAATTGTGCCGGGATCCGCCCAGCTGCGTGACTGACAGCTGGCTCTGCCTATCTAGAGGCAGAGCAAGCTGTACCCGCCACCTCCCCCGTACGTTCCGCCAGTCAGCGCTGGGGGAGGGGGGAATCCAGCCCCTCCCCTGTCACGGCAGACAGCCGTGACAGGATCGAGTGGTGAGCGAACGCCAGTATGTGTTCGCTCACCTCCCGATCTACTGAGCCGACCTGTGACAGTCTCATTGTCACAGGTCGGCTAGAACTATGAGGTGAGTGAAAAGCACTCACCTCATAGTTCTCCTTTAAGTATTATATTACCCTCTTTACTGCGTTACATTCACGCTGATCGGGTGCTGCGACTTTTCTAGCGAGTATGCCCACTGCTGTTGCTATGTCTGGTCTTGTCACAGAAGAAATGTATAGTATCTTTCCGATTATCCTGCGGTATGTCTCATTGTTGAGTAGCAAGTTTTCTGCTTCATTGCTCTTTTGGTAGCCTGGTTCCATAGGTGTTTTTACTTCCTTTGCATCTTGCATGTGGAATTGTTCAACAATTTTCTGACTTTGGTTGAGAAGATAGCTTCAATCTTCGTCTCTCTCTATTTGAATTTCCAGATAGTGACTGATGTTTCCTAGCTCTTTAATTTCAAAGTTTTGTTTTAGTTTGTGAACTATTTGACTATTACCCTTCTTGTTCCCTTGTTCTTCTTGTTGTTATTAGTCCCCTTCTTGTTCAAAACAGTTTATAATGTCATCAACATAATCCATCTGTCTTCTTGGTTCCTGGAATAAAGACAGAGATCTGCTTTGCTTTTTTTGAATCCCTCTTTCATGAGTATTTCACTTTCTCATTCACATTCTTGCAGATTGCTTGAGTCTGTAGATGCTTTTGTGGAGTTCACAAACGAGATTGTGTCCTTGCTCAAACCCTAGTGGTTGCTACATGTACAGATCTTCCTTAATGTTTCCATATAGGAAAGCGGTTTTAACGTCTAGGTGTTTCCCTTGCATGCCCTTCCCGGCTGCGATGCTAAGGAGTGTTCTGATGGTGGAGTGTTTTACGACAGGAGCGAATGTTTCATTGTAGTCTCCAAATTTCTGGGAGTATCCCTTGTCAACCTATCTGGCTTTGCATTTGTGGATATTTCCTTCTGCATCAAGCTTCACCTTAAAAGTCAATTTGCTAGTGTCCAGGTTTTATTTTCTTGGAGTCATTTTATTTCTTCATCTGCTGCCTTGCTCCATTGATTGACTTCACGTTTTGGTAATTTTTCTATGTCTTCCCACGATGTTGGTTCAATTATGCTATGTGTATTAGCAGTATATGACAGCTTGCAGGGTGGTATTCCCTTAGTTGCTCCAGTGGATCTTCCCATTTCAGGTTGTTCAGCAGAATTAAACATGGAATTTGAATTATCCATTGTGATTTCCACCTCTTGTTCTGACTCCTGTGCAGTTTCACTTCTCTTAGTTTCCTTTGCTGTTTCACTGGGCGAATTCACTTCACAACTTCCCAGGATCATTGTTTGTGGTGATAGGTTCTCATCAAAATAAACGTTGTGGCTTATTGTCACTTTGTCAGTCTTTGGGTGGAAAATAACATATCCCTTACTTTGCTCACTGTAGCCCACCAGAATACCTTCTATAGTTGTGTTCTTCAATTTGGATTGCTTCTCCTTTGGAATATATGCGTAAGCTTTACATCCAAGCACTCTGATGTGCCCTAGGCTAGGCTTTGATCCATGCCACACTTCAAATGGGGTGCTTTCAATGGATTTTGAAGGTAGCCTGTTCTGTAGGTATGTTGAAGTCATGACTGCTTCTCCCCAGTACTTCTTAGGTAGGTTGGCGTCTGACAGCATGCATCTGGCCATTTCTATAAGTGTGATTTTTCTGTTCTACTACACCATTTTGTTCAGGAGTGTATGGTGTGCTCCTCTGGTGTACTATACCTTGTTTCATCAGATATAATTGCAATTCCATACTGATGTATACCCCTTCATTGTCGGTGTATATAATTCCTGGTTTCCGTTGGAATATGTTCCTGGACATGGCTACAAACAAAGTTTTTCTGATGTTTCATTCGTGTGCTTCATCAGATGAGTTGTTGTGTACCTGTAATAATCATCAATGAAAGTCAGTAGGTATCTGTTCCCACCTGATGTAGGAGTTTTCATTAGTCCGCACACGTCGCTGTATATGAGCTCCATGGGGTGGGTGGTCTTTCTTTGAGTGGCCTGTGGAAGTGGGGTACGTGTGGCATTTGCATGTCATGAGCATTTGACAGGGCAGTACAGTTATATCTTCTGATAAGCCTCTCTTTATAATGTCTTTTGTGGCTTCTGGGTTTCGGTGCCCTAGTTGTCTGCGCCATAGGTGGATACATTAGTTGTGTGGATTATGAGTGGTTGTCTTGAATTGTTAGTCTGCGTTGATGAGTTTGTACAGGTGTTCATCCAATTTTCCTTTTTGCGAAAATGTGCTTATTGTTTCATTTGTACATTCATCACCTCAGAATTAAACTGTGAGACAGTGATAGAAGTTACATAGTTACATAGTTACATAGTATTTGAGGTTGAATAAAGACACATGTCCATCTAAGTTGAAACCGCGAAGTGCACAGCTCACCCCTATCATGCGTCCCCACAATGCACATTCGGTGCACGGATGACTCTATTCCGAAGAAGTAGGCTTAAAAACTGTGTAACCAGCACACGATAATCTTCCAAAGAAATTCAAACTTTATTCCACATGCATCTGTACAAAGCACAACCGCTGACGTGTTTCTGCCTTACTCTGCCTTAGTCACTGATAGAAGGCTTCCTTCTAGGTCTAGGACATACAGTACATTTTTCACAAGTATACTCTGCTTATCCCCCGATGGTGCCATGTGATGCAGTTCAAGAACCCTTGACTGTTGCAAATGATTGGCCGGAGCTAGCGTTGACAGCTAGCTCCGCCCAACTGTTTTCTATGATATCAAAGCCGACAAGCTCTCATAATGACAGTCCAGCGT